AACATTACTAAATGCATTTAGAGAATGGTTAGAAATAAAACAACAGAATTCTCAAGAATCTAGATCTACAAGAAATAATAGTAGAAAATGGTGTAAAAGAAGAGGTTTAGAGGAACAAAGATTTTACGAAATGACGAAATTAAGAGCTCAGTTTAAAGAATTACTTCAGGTAAATTATACTAGATTTTTAATTTATTATATTTAAAATTTATTTATATGACCAGACTACATGTAATTAACAGGATTGTGGATTACTAAAAAATTTTTCGGAACCAAATTCTTCTATGTCTAGTGCAGAACGTGCATTAAGACATGGGGAACTTAAACTTTTAAAATCCTTAAAACGAATTTATAAGCAAAATGAACCTAGAAAAAGAAAACAATTAAAGCTAGAATCCTTTGACATACAATTAGAAGATAATGATCATGAAGATGGTGAAATTGATATAAAAGATATCGAATTTCGAATGAAAAATGATTCAAATCAAGTACAAAATTTATTAACAGCAAGTACTGCATGTAATTATAAAGATTTAACTATGTTGAAATTAATATTGTGCAGTGGTTTATATCCACAATTTGCAGTTGCTGATGAATTTAATTATTGTAAGGTAATATTATTGTATGCATAAAATAAATTCATTATTTCTGTATAAATAATATATTTTTATAGACAACGAATGAACAATTATTTCACACAAAAGCAAAGCCATACATTGCTTTACATCCAATAAGTTTCTTTGGACATCATCCTCAGGTATTACAATTAGAAGAAGTTGATGTTGTATCAATACCAGGTTTTAAAAATAAAACTCCTGTTAGTCCAAAACATACAATATTAACATATTTGTAAGCTCTTAATATTTTAAAATAATGTAATGAAATTTATACTTTAATTAATAATATATTAACTTAATAGATCTCTTTTGGAAACTACAAAGCCTTATTTAGTGAATACACTTAGAATGCCAGCTGCACAAACATTACTTTTATTTGCACGTGAAATCGATACAAATAGTACATTTTCAATGTATGTATATATTATATATAACAACATATTATATAACAAAATTATATTATATATTCAAAATTTTTAAAAAATGTTATTAACATATTTTTGTTCTTTATAGAATAGTATGTGATTCGTGGTTAGAATTAAAATTTCCTATACCTGATACTGGTCAAACTTTACTAATGAAAGCTACCAAATTACGACATAAATGGGATTTTTTATTAAATCAACGATTACAAGGTATAATAAAACATGTAAAAAATATTTACTTAAAATCTAACTTTTATACTTTTTCTCATAATTTTAAGGAATAATATAAAATATAATAAGAGATTTAATAATATTTTTTATAGATTCAAATATTGGTAATGATATACAAGATTTTAGTCAATTTGAGGATATACTTATTCAAAAATTAATTGAATATATGCATACTACTGTTCCATATACACTAAAACGACTTTTACCAGCTGATCTTAAAATAATATATGTGGGGAATGGTAAAAATAATATACTGGTAGATCCAAATCCTTTTCAATCAGATTTTATAATAACTCCTAATTCAGTAAAAGGAGGAATTCGTGTATCAAACATTATTACATATAATTGGTAACGTAATAATATATTTTATTTTTATATTAAAAAATATATAATACAATATTATATGTTATAAGTAAAAATATAATTTTTTATTTTAGTATACGAGAAACTGAATGGAGTGAACAACTTTCCATACAAATTTTAAAAACAGAATGGCATTGTCAAAATTGTAACATGCAAGCAATTTTAACAAGCATAGAAAAATTACAACACCAACATTCTTGCATTAAAGAAAAAAATATAAAAGATATTAAAAAACATTGTAACAATATTAAACATAAATCTAATGCACAAGCATATGAATGTCCTAATTGTCTACAAATATTGTACTTGACACCAATTGAAATTCTTAAACACAAAAAATCTCACGTTAAATAAATTTCTTAATATTAAATTAGTAATTTTATTCCAAATTTTTATATAAAATTTATTTTATTTTAACTCATAATATAAATTATTTATATTTTTTATTGTTTCATATTTTTAAAGTGACAATATAATAATTAATAAAATATAATCATAATTATTACATATTTAATAATATAGCAATAATTTAATACAATAATAATAATTTATATTTAGTTATAGAATTATAATTGAAACAATGTTTTTTGTACAATAATGTTACATTTTTTTGTTATTTATATATATATATATATATAATATAATCATATATTATAAAATGCTTACATTAAAAAAATTGATAAAATTAAATATTAATTATAAAATCTTTACAACATATGCATATATATAAATTATGTCCATGGTAAAAAATTTGAAAACATGAAACATCCTAAGATTGTATATCCTAAGAAATAAGAAAATATAAGTTTTTCTCTTAAAGTATATTTCTTCTTTAATAAAAAAAATATATTCCACTTAGAAAATGTATTTTCTTTATTATTACATATCATTAAATTATTATCATCATTATCATCAAATGTATTATATATTGATAAAGCACAATACCAATATATTAATGGACTTGCTGAGCTTATTAAACGGGTACTTACTTGAATATGTACAAATAGAATACAAAAAATTGTTAGGAATAAACCATGAATGATAAATACTAACATTTTAATCGGATATTGTTTTTTTTCAGTTTTTACATTATTTTCAATATTTTTAATGAATCCTAATGTATAAAAATATCTTTTGTGTTCAAAAAAATATTCTTTTATACATTTAATCATGATATACAATATTGGAAATGCTAGAATAAAATTTGGTACTTGTTTTATCTCATAATAATTCAAAAATCCTATATTCCAGTATTTTTTTTGTACATAAGAATATGCAAGTGGAACTTTAGAGTAACACCATTCATTATTATTACCAGGTAATACTAAATTATTTATTATACTGAAATTAACAATATGTTCAGGAATAAATGTTTGATTAGGAATACAAAACATAACATAATTATATATTTGTAACAAAATAAATGGAATTATTGATATAATAATTGTACTAAATATTAAGCAAAAATTCTTTAAAATAATTATTTTAAGAATAAATTGATAAAAATTTTTAAATGAAAAATTTATATCTTTTATCATATAATTATAAAATAATTTTTTCAATTGATAATATATAGGAAAACCAATATTAATTATACCATTTGATCTTGTAAGAATGGACAAACCTATTGGAATTGATACATATGGATCTAATTTAATAGATTTTAACATACTGGAAAATGTTAAATATGCAAATAAAGATTCTGAATAAACAGCTGAAAAGAATATAGTAGCTGGATTTATACAATATAATATTGCTGCTATATAAGCTATATTTGTTTTTTTTAATATTATTTTACTAAGATCATAAAATATAACAGCAGACTTTACAAAACATATAATATTAATTAATACAGCTGCAATAAGGATAGAGCTATGAATATTTAATTTAAAAAATATTTTTCTTATAGAAACAGAAATAATTCGAATTAACATAGGATACAATGGGTAAAAAGCCAAAGTGTTTTCATATGTATAACCATATTTTGCAATATGCAAAAAATATTGACCATCCCATCGTGTAAGACCATTAAATAGAAACATAATTATATTGTCATATGATGAAATTTGTTCAGAATTATCAATAGGACTTTTAAATGCATCTGCATTATGATCAGGAATAAAAATTAAAATAATTGTAAATTTAAAACTATTATCCTACTAATAATTGCAAACCAAAAGATTTTTTTTCGTTCATTCATTCTATTATATAATAATATTTTGATTTAATATTATATTGATTGTATTTATTCTATTAAAATTTAATAATTAATCATTTCAATTTTAAATTTATTTTAAGTTTTTTCCAATTACTAATATAAATTAAGATTTTTAGTATATTTTTATAATATATCTATATATATTTTATGTGTATATATATATATGTATAATAGAAAAAAAAGTCAAAAATATATTTTATCCATGTAAAATAATCTTTCTCCAATTTATAACCATTCTTTTATAAGAATATGTAGCTGAAATAAATTTAAATATCATGTTATTTATCATGTTATAATATCATGTATTAATTTTTTATATTAATTGCATATAAAAAACTATATTATTTTTAATATTATATTATTTTGAATTATATTATATGTGATATAAATTATTTATATAATTCATTTTAAAGAAAGAAAAATTGTAATTTACAGTTATCAAATATAATAATTAAACTTTTAAAAAACATTTTTTTTTTAATTATAATATTAAAATATCATAATATTATATTATCTACCTTAAATATCAAATAATGAAATGAATTCCATTTGTACAAAACTTTACAGGTTCAACAAAATATTTCAAGAAAATGAAATATTTTAAAATTTTTCAATTTCCAGGTCAATACAGCATCAAACTTGAACATTCTGAAACATACACATTAATTTTTAAGTATATATAATTTTTAAATAATAATCTATAATTTAAAAAGGATTTTAAAATTTATAATTAAATGATGTAAAAATTTCATTTAATATCCATATCCTAATTACTAAAAATAATATAAATTATTAATATAATATAGTTAAATATATCTTCTAAATTTATATATAAAGATAGATTATATATATATAGAAATAGAACTTATTTTGCAAATTTAATATTTTGAATATTAATGTATTTTCGAATTATTTTTGAATTATTATTTTAACTATATTTTATATTATATAATATAATATAATATATATTACATAATATATATATAATATATAATATATTATATAATATTATATTATATAAAAAATAATTGATTTATAATAAATAAATTTTTATTCTCAAAAAAGATTAAGTTACATTTTTGTTAAACCACAAAGTTTTTTAACAATAAATTCTATTATTCTATTCTATAATTTTTATTCTTGAAGTTATGAATTAATTAAATTAATTAAATTAATAAAGTTATATTTTTGCTACACCACAAAGTTTTTTAGCAAAATCTGCAATATGATGGTCTTTTGGTAAACTTTCATATTCAAGATTTTCTGAATATGGTGTAGGTACATCAATAGCTGTGCAACGTATAGCTGGTGCATCAAGTTGGAAAAATACTGGATTTTCCATAACTCTTGCTACAATTTCAGCACCTATTCCACATGTAGGCCATCCTAATTCAATAGTCATAAGTCTATGTGTTTTTGAAATAGATTTAAAAAGTGTATCCCAATCTAATGGTCTAAGAGAACGTAAATTAACCACTTCTGCTTCTATTCCTTCTCCTGCCAGAAGCTCTGCTGCTTTCAATGTATGCACACCAGCTAAACCATGTGTAGCTAAAGTAATATGTTTACCAGGTTTTTCGATTTTAGCTTTACCAATAGGTATGGTAAAATCTTTATCCATAGCTTCATCTGATGTAGGAAATTGAATATGATAAATCATTTCACTTTCTAACATTACAACTGGATCAGGATCTCGAATAGCAGCTTTGAAGCAACCTCTATAATCGTCACAAGTTGTTGGAGACATAACTTTCAAGCCAGGTATATGTGTGTACATTGCTACAAAACATTGAGAATGTTGTGCTGCTACACCTTTAGCATTACCATTTGCACCACGAAAAACAATGGGTACAGAAAATTTTCCTCCAGTCATATATAAATTTTTAGCAGCACCATTTACAATTCGATCCAAAGCTTGCATTGAAAAATTAAATGTCATAAATTCACATATTGGTCTTAGACCAGCAAGTGCTGCTCCAATAGCTAAGCCACAAAATCCAGCTTCTGTTATAGGAGTATCAATTACTCTTTTGTCACCATATTTTTTCCAAAGACCTCTTGTTATTTTGTAAACACCATCATATTGTGCAACTTCTTCTCCTAAAATAAATACTCTTGAATCTCGTGCTAATTCTTCATCAATAGCTGAATTTAATGCTTCTCTTATAGTCATTATCTTCATAGATCTACTGTTTTGTTTTTGAAGAATATACGATATATTTGATAATGCAGTGTTCTTTAAAGAGAATATAAAATGCATTTTAAATTCAAAAATATAAATATGTATATAATAAAGATGTATATAATAAATATATATATATATATATATATTATATTATAAATTATATATAATTTTATTAAATGCAAAATTATTAAACTAGAATAAAGATCTAGTTTCTCTCTTTTTTTATGTATATGAAATAGCATGTGTTTGTATAACAAATTATATGAATCATTAATTTTTTGGTTAATAGAATGAAAAATTTTAAATAATTTTTAAATGTAATTTATTATTTGGAGATATATTTTTTTTTCTTTGTTTGATAATGATATTAAATTCAGAATTATATAAAATTTATTTATATTATATTAATTTTAGTGCATTTTTCTATAAATGAATTAATTTCATTTATTTAAAAAAAGATTATTTTGAAAAATTTTAATATTTAAATATGTAGGTTAATTCACTTATAAAACTTTTTCAAATAAAAGTTTTTAAATTTAATCAAATTTAAATTATATAATATTGCACAAATTTTTTTGTTAATAAATATTACTTTAAATAACGTATATAAAATTAATAAACCATATATTACAATACATATATAAAAAATTTTCCCATGGCCTACTTGAAAAATTATTACTTTTTTTATACTTTATTAAATTATAACATATTTGAAAAACTTAATAAATATACATTATGTTTGAAATATTTTTATTAATATTATTACAATCATAATTAATTAGTTTACCTTTTATAGAGATATATAATATCAATCACATTTTATTAATTTATAATTAAATACTTTATATCAAAATGTTATCGAATATATTATTTCGATTTATATTAAGATATTGATTTTCATTTGCTGATAACGATTCGCTTATATTAATGTTTAATATATATAGTTTATATTTTTAAGATTTTAGAGATATATGTATATAATTTAAAGAAACAAATTCACACAGATAAACAAAACAAATTATATAATTTAGATATTGCAACTCTGATAATAAGTGAAAACTGTTAATTAAGAATGATTGTATTAAAGTATATTATATAAAACATATTTGTGCTCATGGATACTAATCGGTAAGCAGTGTCATTTTCATTGTTATATAAAATTTTAGAAAAAAAAACAATATTCTTAATTTTAAATTAATTTTTTTTTATATATTCACATATTGTGAATATTTATAAATTTTATTTTAAAAATTATTTGTCGAATTGAATTGACTTTTTTTTTACTTTAATTTAAAAAATTTGACATATTCCAATAATAATAATTTGTCTTATATAAAAAATTTATAATATTTCAAAATTAAAAATTCTTTTTTTTATAAATTTTAATCACATAATTTTATTGATTTGTTTTTCTAAGAGATTAAAATAAGCTGTTCTATAGATTCATAATAAAAAAATTTAATTATTATTTTTACTTTTAATATACTAATATATCATCTAATATATTCAATTATATTATATATTAAAAATCAAATTAATCAATAAAATTAGCAATTTGTATTTGAATTATATATTTATATATTTATAGAATAAGTTTGAAGAATTTTTTTTTTTACTTGGTTATCAACGATTTAATGCTTCATTAATATATTAATATATAATTTTTACTATACTATGCTTATAAAATAATATACTATGCTTATAAAATGTTAATTTTAGTTCATTCTTTTATAATTTATTACATATTACATTTTTTTTATTTATTCTTTGAGTATTGAATATATATATATGCAGAATATTAAGAATCGTTAGAATTTTTTGGAAAATTGATTTTCTAGATATTAATAAATAATAAACGATTTAATTTTACACTAAATGAATAATATGGAAAGAGATTAGTTGATCAATATTGTATTGTAGGTTGTGATCATATTATTACATTTGTACATATTATTACATTAATAATTTAATAATATATAATTCAAGATATTAAAAGTATGCATTTAAAATGTAATATATTAATACATTATTTTAAATTTTCCATCGGAAAATTAATGTTCCAAAATTAAATTTGGAATATTAATTTTAAAAATAAGCCTCAATGTTTATATCAACTTTATATTTCTTTTAGTATCTAAAATCATTCTTTCAATTGTGCTAAGTGCAAGTTTTTTTGATACCGTATATGCAAAGTGAAGTATATTATGTATGTTAACAATTGTGCAATGATAATAATTATTACACAAGTGTATTAATAATTAAAATTCGATTAATTTTTAATAAAAATATATATATTTTTATATAGTTTTAATATGGTATAATTTTGTTTTAATCGCATAATGAATAAGGTTATGTTTACTACAAATATTATAGTTTCTAAATTGCTAAAAATAAATGAAACTGTAAAATTTTCAAATAAATTTTTACATATACGTAAGTATTTGCAAAATTAAATATGATATAGAACGATAATATAATAATTTTATTTCCAGGATTTCAAATTCTTTTTTCAAAAAAAAATGAAACGATTGAAAGTCCGAGAATGCGTGAATTTAGAAAAAAATTAAGAGAACGTACACCTATAGGTAATTTTATTCTCTTTAGAAATTTTTTATAATAATACAATGAATAAAATAAACATATTTAATATGTAACTCAGAAAAATTAGAAGAACTCGAAGAAGGCAAGCATCCTTATCAAGAAAAAGAACCATTAAAACCATTTCCAAATAATACGAATCCAAAAACAGGTGAAATAGGAGGACCACGTGGACCAGAACCAACACGATATGGTGATTGGGAAAGAAAAGGTCGAGTGACAGATTTCTAGTGATATTTTAATGCAATATTATATGAATATAATAGTATATCTTATATAGTATGTTCAATTAAAATATATGTATTTTAGCAATAAAAAATTCATTATATATGAAAAATATAATTAAATAATAAACATTTTATTATTTATATATTAATAAAATATTTTTATATGTAAAAATATTTTTTATTATTAAGGAATTATTTTCTATATTTGATTTTTTATATTAAAATAGCAAATTATAAAAAAAATAAATATAAAACATTTGACAATTTACAAAAAATATATATATAGATCATATATATAAAAAATATTTTTTCAAAAGCATAACAAAAGAATACTAAAATTAATAAATTAATCATTTCAACAAAATATACAAATATGGATATTTTGAAACTAAAAGTCTCTTTGAGAGGTTTTTACGTTAATATCAGAATGCTTGATTTTATAAATAAAATTTCTATAAAATCATTAATGTATAAATCTAAAGCATTTTCAACAGGTATGTAATATATAAATTTAAATTTCTAAAATATTGAATTTGTAAAATATTTCTTCATACGTAGGTTTTTTATTACGAGTTAAAGAACCAGATGCAAAATTAGAGAAAAAAGAATCAATAAGAATGAAACAGTTTCATAAAAAATTAAAATTGCAACCTATACCTAGTAAGTACAGCATATATATATATATATATATAAATATGAAATTAAAATTATCATAAATTATTAAATACAATTGATATAAAAAGATATAATAATAGGAATACCACCAAAAGAACGTTTTGTGGACTTGGTTTTAGTGGAAACTGATCCAAATAATGGAGAATTAATAACAAATAATGAAAAAGATCCAACGAAGTGGGGAGACTGGCAAAACGGTGGACGGGTGAGCGACTTCTGATCTAAAACCTTACATCTTCATTTGAAGATATAAATATAAAAAATATAAACATAACAATTTCAATTCACTTAAATTTATAAAATTTATTATTCTATTTTTATAAATCTTATTTGTTAATTATATTCTAATCTTCAATGTATTTTTAAAAAAATAATCTAGATCAAATTTTGAACAATTAGTAGTAAATGAAATAGTTTATTTTCTCTATGACAATTCTAAAATTTTTTATTGTATAAATAAATAATAAATAAATTGAAATTATAAATAAATGATAAAATATTAATAATAAAAAGAATTAAAAATTGAAACAAGATTAAAAAATACTTACTAATTATTATTATATATAATATATATTATATATTATTATTATAGTATATTATATATATAATATAATTATATATATAAAATATATTATTTATAACATATAATATATTATTAATTATATTATATTCATTATTATATTTAGTATATATTTATTATATTTATTAATAATATTATATATATATATATATATATAATTACTATATTAATTAAAATACAACTGCACAAAAATGTGCAAATTCAAATTTATAAGTATCTTTTTAAAATAAAAATTATTATTATAATTAATTGATAAATTATTTTAATAAATATTTTAATCATCTAAAATATTTTCGTTTTATTTTGTGATAAAAAGAATAATAAAAAAATATAACAAAGTTTTAAGAAAACATATGTCTATTTAAAAATTTGCTGAATAACATGAATTATCAATTTTTTTATATTTGAATGATAAAATAAAATACACAATATTATTTTTATTTAATTTATAATAATATTTAATATTATTTAATATTATTATAAAATAATAATTATATATTTAATAATTATATAATTATATATATTTATAATAATAAATATATATTTAATTGATATAATTTTTTTTAATCTTTCATTATTTATTTATATTTCTTAATAAGAACAATCAATTTTAATTATAATTAATAAAATTGTATTTTTAGTTTTAATAAATGCAATCATATTTTTTTATATAAATTAACAACTTTAATTTTTTTAAATGATAAGCAGAGTCTCAAATAAATTAGTTATGTTACTTTCATGTAGAATATTTTATTTCTGAGTGAGAGAATTTTTTGTGCATTTTCATGCTATAAAAAATTATTTTCATCTTTAAATATATATACAATTTAGTAATATTATTCATTGAAACTATTAAATCAATATCATAAAGAAATTATGAATAATAATTATTAAATATTTTTTTTATATTAATGTTCTTTTAAAAAAGTAAGTGAAAATATTATATTAAAATGTATGATTATATGACATAAGATTAATATTCATAGATACAATAATAGTATTATTTATATTAAATTGTTTTTTGAAGTGCATTATTTAATATTTACAGTACAGTTTCATTTTACAGTATGAATACAAGAAATTTCAAGTCACACTTTCATGATGCGTGATACAAAATACAAAATTTTCGTTATGAAAAGTTAAAATTAAAAATAGCGAAATATTTACAAAGTGATGATTCTTACAGTGTAATATTTTTGTCCTACTCCTAACAGATCCATAGACGTATCGAAAATAATGCTTATAATATGTATTTTATTTAATGAAGAAATTAATGTTTTACTAATCTGTTATTTCTGATAAATATATTGCAGATCTTATATTTGTTATTGAAAATCTTATGATAAGAAAATCTTTTAATTATCTCTTATTACAAATTGAAAATGACTAAAAATATGTATTATAATTAAGTTATATTTGAAGTACTAATTAGAATTGTAAAATAAAAAAAAATCTAAAAATATAAATATACTCATTCAAAACAATAAATCTTCAGTCTTTCATCTAGCATCGACGGACCTGAAAATTGTAGTTTTAAGGTAGCATCGAATAGTAAAGATTATAAGTCTTAACGAATTATAAACTATAAAGTTTTATTAATGGCTAACACATCTCGCATCATCATATTCCTGAGCGTCCATAAAGCATTTACCACATTTCCGTGGTTGCCTACACCATTGCCTAACCATTCAGCTGGCAATTTCGTTACATCAGGAATTTGTGTATTATCAGGATTAGCATTCATTTGTTTGTCCCAATTTGATATGTACCGATTTTCTACATTTAATGCTTCAATATACCTACAGTTGCAATATAAATATTAAAATGTATATTAATAATGCAAATTAAATTGTAAAAATATTCAATTTATTTACCGTAAATAGGCATCTGAATGTAAAACTCGACTTGGTCGTGGAGGAACAGCGACAAACATAGGTTCTGGTTGTTTGGCAATAGGAATATTGCTTGTTTGTGTCGCAGCTGCCGATGTTTCTATAATGATGATAATAATAATAATATTAAAAAAGATAGAAAATAAAAAAAAAATTTTAAATATAGAATTAAAGAGCATTTATAAATATTACTTATATTATAAATATACATATTATAAATATTATAGTAAATATTAAATGAATTTAAAAAAAAAATTATTTCAGTAAAATATTATTACCTGTTTCCATAGGTGGCAATACCGTTGGACCTTTTGATGCCATATAATTTCTGTAAAAAAAAATATAAATGAAAGTAAAATATATAGCATAAATTTAAAATTATTACAATAATAATGTAATAATAAGTAATGTAATATGAATCAAAATTGTATCTGTTATCTGTTTTAAAGAATTTTAAGTATTTTTTTTTTCTCTCAAGTACAAGTAAAGTATGTATATAATGTTCCAAATAAAAATTCATTATATATACTAGAAGTTAATTTATCTTCATTTTTGAGATATGAAAGATATAAATTATATATGAGATACATTCAAGCTATTTAATTTTTAGTGGTAATTATTTTTTTGAAATTACGTTTTATATTAATTTATACTAATTTATACAAATTGTTTAAAATGACTATATATCATATATGTATGCAAATAAGTGTCCATTGTTTGTATCATTAAATTAGTAAGATTTGATGTTTTTCTGATGTATGCTATCAATATGCAACCATTATTTATTTTTCGATTTAAACATTTTTGATTTCAATCCAAAAAAATTTTAAAGAAATAAATTTGAAGAAATAAAAAATATTAGAGATTGAGAAATTCATGTCCATTTCTTTTTATCTATTTATTAGGAAAAATTTTATTGAAAAATATTGTTGTATTTTTTAAAATGTAAATGTGTTTCAAAAAAATAAATAATTATTATTAAGAATTAAATAACTTGAATATTTAATTATTTTTGATTCATATCATTTCATTTTCCATATTTCGAGAATGAAATCGATCATAATAATTTTTTGCTCAGTTCCCAAATATATTAGCAAAGTATATCAATTTAAAATATTCTGTAGACAGATACTTTATATTTGTTTGTTTTAAACTCGTAAAATTTAAGATTACTTGCGGAGCCAATTTCAAGAACTAGTAACATACCAACGGTAAACGAAGCTAAACCATAGCCGGTTAATATAGTATTATTATAGTTTATTATACAGCACTTTGACATCATACTTGCTTCTTTCCGAAGGAGGTATTATACGTCCATTTGATTTAAGGATATGTACTTCCTTAACATGCCTTGCGAGTCTTTGTACACTTGGAAAAGGAGGTACAGATTTTTTTGTACGGCCACAACCACGCCATTGACATTGAAATTCCACATCTATGGAAAAATATATATTTTTCAATTTTTTAAATATTATTTTATTATTATGATGATATTCAAAATAATATAAAATACATACCGCTTGCAGCATTAATAAAAGATGATTGAACATGCCCATTTTGTTCTGCAATACAATGATCAATACAATCAGTCATATCTTCAAATTGCCAATCACAATTATCCCAACAACATTCATAAACTACATCTTGCAAAGCATTAGTGCCTACTGAAACATTATTTCCTTTAAGTTGTCCTCCATCTTCATTCATTTTAATTGCTCTTTCTTCCCAAGCTTGTTTTTCTCCTGCTGGCAATTTCCTCCACTGAAATATAAAAAAATATTTATATATTACATTCTTCAAAAATAATATTTTGATATTTTTTGATAATAATTAATTAAAAAATTTTTTTCATAATTAAATATGAAATGATCAAAAAAATTTAAATTATATTATTTAAAATATAATATATATTATAGAGAAGAAAATTAAAGATATATATTATAATATGTAAATATTAATTTATGTTATTTATAAATTATAAATAATATATTACAAATATGAAAATATGAAATAACAAATATGAAATATGTATTTTAATATTTAAATTAATTTATAAATCGTATGTTACTTATATTTAAAAAATATATAATAATATAATAAAAATATAAATAATAAAATAAAATAAAATAAAAATAACTACGATAATGATAATAATAATAACAATAATAATAATAAGAAAAAAAATAAGAGAAAGATTAGAACAATAATAATTTTTATTTATAAAAAAATATAGGTAACTCCGAAAAGATTTATACTTGTGATGCATTTGAAAAGAAGATAGAAGCATGCAGAATATATTTCCTTATACAATATTTTATAAAACGCAATAAGCTGTTTTATAATATTATATTCTGAAAATTGAATCTGCATATTTTCTTTCTTCAATAAAAAATTATTATAGTAAATTAAAAATCAACAATAAAAAATAAATACCTCATTGCCAACAATTCTGCTAATCTCCCCAAAGGATGATTCAGGATTGTTTTGTGTAATCTGTGTTCGCATTTTACTCGAATATAAAATATAGCCCGTAACTAATTTCTTACCCGCCGTTTTCTAAACAGAAGAAAACACAAATTATAATATCATCGTCTTATAGAAAAAAATATTGATATTATATCTTCAGAAAAGATCTTATAAAAATATCTAATTGTTAGATAACAAAGTTTAAACGGTGCAAAAACAAAAAACGTATATGCTGGCATATTTTTCTAAACAAAAGTAAAATGAAATAAATAAAATATGATATATGAACAAGTTATAAGCAAATAAAGTCACGATAAATCCTACCTTTTTAGTCGATACAGGTGTTTGAGTATTGGAGAGCACCGGTTGAGCTTCTGCAGATCCAACGGACGGTGGACCACCAGCGTCCATGCTGTCCTCCCCAACTCCTACTCCTACTCCCACTCCTAATCCTACTCCCATGCCTAGTACATCGGGTTCCAGCTTCGGTAACAATGGTGATGCTTCCTATACCATTTATGTTATGTTACGTTCATTATCCGTTACCGAATGAAATTTTCTTTTTAATATTTTAGATTGATAAATTTTTACTAACAATTTTGTATAATGCCATTAAGTGACAAATTTTTCTTGAGCACAAATATTCACATAAATATGCAATATTCATATAAATGTTTATTTCTCATTGAAATATAGTTTTCTCTAATAGATTTAATCCGATTATAAAATTCCACTATTGAATATCAACATTAAGTAAAAATAACATAGTTTTCAATATTTGAACAATATTTGAATTTCTTATATATGCTCTAAGAAATTAGAGATATTTAGGCATTAGTACTTGCGTTCCATTTAAAGCATAAATGCTTCATTTTTATATTATTTGGGTTAGAGTGACATGGAAGCGAGACTTTTTGGTGGTATTTATATATCATATATGTATATACATACATATTATTAGAGATAAACCCAACAGGTGCTCTGAATTTAAATCCATGAAAAACAATGTCTAATTCTATAAGTACTATATAGAAGAATAGAACTTTAAAATATTTTATATAAACAAAACACAAAAAAATAGATTATATAATACATAAAAAAATTATGTATTATATATATACATATATTATACAGGATAATATTATAATTAATATTCATGGAAAACCTTTACAAGGATTCTGGAAACCAAAATAAACACAAAAGTTGATATATAAAAATAAGTAAGGTATATTATTAAGTAAGTATATTTATAAAGTTATAAATAATTGAAGTTTCAATTAAAAGCATAAAACAAATAAAATAAGATTTTGTTTCTATTACATCATCATTTTATTATTCTTGACTCACTTCATCTAACATGAACTTAACAAATAAATCTCAACTAATGTTATACTTTTATGTTTGGCTTCTAGAATTTTTAAAAGATATCCCATAAATATATATTTATACCCTGCATTTTATGACATAAAAAAAAATATATATATGTATAAATGTATATATATATGTATGTATATATACATATATACATATATAACATAAAAAAAGAAGACAGAAAAAAAATGAATATGCCGGCATAAATGAGAAACATGCTTAGATATGAATTAATACAAAACCTTTATCACGTACAAGTCATATATTGGAACAAAATATATAGCAACAATAAATTTTACAATTTTTAATAAAAATAATTTCCATATGAACTTGCATGTGATTATCAGAAAACATGCATTTTTTTATATTATTAATCGAACGTAAAAAATTTATAAATAGAAATTACCATTTCAAATTGAGTTGAACTAGAAGTAACAGACTTGACTTGATTTTGCGTTTGAGCCACATCGCCCGGAACCTATAACACACACATGACATGCAAAGCAATATTCAGTTAGTTGCATATCAAATAAGAGGCATATCAAATAACAGGCATATCAAATAACATATCGTTACCAAATTTTTGCATAGAATGTTATTTAAATGCTTAAATTTCATATGTACCTTAGCTGGGTTAATAGGTCTTCGGAAGAAATAAATTTCATCTTCAGTTACTGCTGAATTATGATTAAATTTTTTTAGACCTTCTTGACCAAGTTTTTTCATAAGACTTTTACTTTCATCATATAATGATTCACAAATATATACATCATCTTCTGGAATTTCTGTCGGTCGACCTATATAAATATGTAAATTTTTATGAAAAATATAATAGTTTTCTAAATATATATATGTATATATATATATATTTTTTACAATTTTTAATTATTTTTTTATATACTTACTACAAATATATTCTCCATAGTCAAGAACAGCACATTTTCCAACAATAGCCACAATAGGATGAGTGCCATCAACTGTAGATAGAAATAATTCTTGTTTATAAAATAACTTAGTAGGAGTATGTGGCACTTCTGCAGGCATCAATAGCCATGGGCCCTTAAAATAACATTTTCCACTGAAAATAAAAATGATATAATCACTTCAATCATAAACAATTAATAATAAATGCTTATTACATACTCTTTTGTTGACCATATAGCATCAATTTGCGCAATTTGTTGTCTACCTCCATCTGTTGCAACATAAACAAAGTCTCCAGTTTTTACAGAACCTGCACATGTATTATATTGCTCGTAATAAGTATTTTCTGTATCATCTGAGTTATACAATATTACATTCTACAAGAAAATAATTGATTAAAAGAAAATTTTCATAAAAATGCAAAATTAATTAATTAATATAATATATAATTACTAAAAATTATAAATATTTTGTAATGTTTTTTTAATGATGTCACTTACAGGTCTTTCTTTTTCTGTTAATTTTTCTCCTTCTTCTAATTCAGCAATTTCTTCTTTATGCTTTTCTAATCTTTCTTTATATACTGATATTACTCGCTTTGGTTCTAATGGTTTATCTCTTGAAATTAATTTTAAATGATCTGGATCAAAATTCCAGACTTTGATTTTTTTAAAAGCTCTTGCTTTTGTAGAGTATCGTGATTCACATACATAAACATCTTTTTCTAAGAAACCTTCAGGTTGCATTCTAAAATAATCCTTTACACTTAAAACACAACATCTTCCAGCTACTTTAGCCAAAGGTATAGCTACATGAGCATCACTTTTAAATAATTCCTTATCAAGAAATTTCCTAGATGCTACATGGTAAGTTTCACTTGGTCTATAAAATAAATTGCCATATAACATTTGTTGACCTTCTGCATTTGTCCATAAACGTTCTATAAGAACTACACTATATTCCATGCCTCGTTCTGTAGGTTCTATATATGCAAAATCTCCAGCTCTATATATTTCTTGATTAAAACTCATAGATCCACCATTATCACTATTACTTCCTTCTGTATTAGTATTTGTTTCAGAATCCTAAAAATATGTCAAATATATTTTTTCATTTTTTTATTATAATTTTAATATCAATATTTTAAAAAAATTATTAATATAAATAATATTATATTATAAATTTTATATACTATCATACTTTTGTTTCATTTCCATCACAACTTTCATCTTCATTAGGTAATGATAATTCTTGTTGTAATTTCACACGTTTTAATTCTGCAACTTGAGCAGAAAGATCAAGAAGTGTATAATTAAGAGCTGGTGAATGTAATAAATCTCCTCCTCGAGTTACTTCATCACGAGTACGTAAAAAAAATGCTTGTAATTCTACACTATCTTCAAAAGGTTGCGAATCTGTACGTGATAATCTTCTAGCTCTTTCTAAACATGTGAATACATCTTCTTGAAAACGATCCAATCGTTTATATACTCCACGATCTAATCTTCTTTTAATTAAATCTAATGATAATCCTCGTATTCTAATATGTAAGAAAAATATTTAATAACAAAATAAAAATAAAAATATTAGATAATTTATTATTAATTATTAAAAAATATATATATATTAATTTATAATTTATTATAATTAAAAACATACTTTTTCCCATCAATGATATCATGTTCTGGAAGTTCTGCCATTGAATCTGAATAACATCTACCTTCTTCATCTTGATGATTATAAAGAGCAGTAAAAATTGTTGCTAATATTTCTTGAATTGCGGCTGATACATCTGGTACACTTTCTTCATCTTCACTTAATTGTAATTTTGTTTGGAGAACTAATCTTTGTAAAATTAAAGCATCCTATAATATATATAATATATATAATTGAGATTGTAAATTATTTAAAATGTTAAATATTATTTTATTTAAAATATATCAACATCAATAAATTTTGTTTTACATTAATATGTTATTAATATTTATATTAATGTTTATTAAAAAAATGAATAATATTCTAAAAGAAATATTGTTTACTTCTGTTTCATTCTTCTTGCATTTTTTTGATAAACGTTGATCTACTTCTTTATCTCTCATTAAACGAATAAAACAAGGTCGCACTTTTAATGCCTTTTGTACAGAAACATTGTTTCTATTATTAATATTTCCTTGTTCAAACATTTTGAGCAATGTGTATATATATATATGTGTGTATGTAATATACATATATGTAAAAAAACTTGCAAATCTATAATACTTTTATAGATATTCACTGAACACTTTTTCATGTGTTTAATTTATGTTTATTATTTTGATAAAATTGCATGTTTGCACCAGTTTTATTATAATATTTATTCATAGAAAAAAATTCATTTGTTATTTTATAAAATCCTTATATGGAACCACATGAAACGACAAAGCTACGAAAGAAGCTAACTTCAGGTAACCTCAAAAACTATAACTGTAAACAGATCGAGCTTTCCATGTTTTAGCGCGAAATTTCGATTGGAGTTCTGACTTCCAAATGATTCATATATTTCATAGTAATAATTTTATAAACTATTTTTAATTAATTATAAATATAATAATAATAAATATATTTTTCGATGTAATGCAATGTATATAATATAATATAACTTGTATTCTCTTACTAAAGAGGATTGAGAAAATTAACAATAATTTCTAATAATTAATACTTTTTTCAACAATTTTTTTTCTACCATAAATATTAAAAATTATGATATTTAATTTCTAAATAAATAAAACGTAATTTCTTTTAAAAATTAGTTTAATAAATTAATAAAACTTTATTTTAAATAAATAATTAGAAATAAAATGAAAATAAATACATATACATTAATATACAAACCTTATATATTTGTGAATCGGGTTCATTATACTTGCAAGCATTATCAAACATTAGTATAAAATCTGATACAAGTTCATCCAAATTTTCATATCCATTATTTTTTAAAGTGGACGCTATTTTCTCCATATTCATTGGTTGCTTAATAACTTCATAATAATCAGGATATTCATTTTTATTTGGTAATTTCATAAAAATTAAAGATAATTGTCTTCCTTTTCCATCATGATAATCTTTTATAGTATCATACATAGTTTTCAATTTTTGTAAATGTAATGGTACAACTTTTTTAGGTCTCCTATGTATTATAAAAAGATATGTATGACGTATATATTGTGATTAATTATATTGATTACAATATTCTTAAAAATGAATTTATATTATACACTTAAAATATTACATACCCAACATTTCTAGTAGGAGTAGATGCACTTGATTTGGTAGGTTTACCTGTTTCAGGTAAAGGACCTAATTCTTTTACTTTATCCATTAAAACTCTTTCAAGAGTATTTGCATCTTCATATATTAAAGAGCCTTCTTCATTATATTGACGACAATTATTAAACATTAACTAAATGAAAATATAGAAATAAACATATGTATTCATAAATATATAAAATATGAAATATATATAAAATACCTTAAAATCTTGTATTAATTCATTTTCACTTTGATATTTTTCTGCTTTAATATTAGCTTCAATAGCTAACATATCAATTGGTTCTGCTATTACTTGATAATAATCTGGATATAACTTTTTAGAAGGTTTCTCCATAAACATTAACATTGGTTGTCGACCATCTTCACACTGTAATGTAATAAACTCTGTATTGCTAAACTTCAGTCTTGTTAATTGAAATTGGAATTACTTACAACGTATTCTATAACACATTTAACTAGTGCATACAATCTTTTTTTCAATGGTATATTGTCTTTATATTTTCCACGTGTTAAGAGATTTGAAGCACGTTTAATAAGTTTAGGTTGATGAGAGCTATTTTCAAATTCACTATCCGAGTCTGAATCCTATAAATATAATATATATAAAA